TTAATTTAAAAGACATCATGTTTTAATAGTTCCTAAAAATTCATAATGACAATGATATTACTTCAGACTTTAGGAGTAAGTGGAGTTAAATAGTTTGTCGCTGACGTTTAAATTACACAAATTAAAATAAATCTATTACATACAGCAAACCACATCCAAACAAACAACAATCACAATCCTATCTACTTATTAGTCGTTAAAACGATAATCATCGCATTAACATGACAAATATATTAACGTTTTAATTTTAAATCGTTTTGAACGAAAACTGGCACATATAAATGCAAATTTTTATTTTTACAACGATTGATGATACGAGTAACAGGATACGTATACCACGAAAGTTCAACTTAACTGCGAAACAGTATTATGTTGCATTGAAATTGTGAAATTGAAGGATGATGTCATTTAGCAACTATACAGTTTCAATCGATAAAACTGTTACACACTTTTTCCAGGCACGTGTTAAATTTGGAATTAGATAAACAATTTCAATAAATACAAATTGTAAAAGGAAACCGTAAACTAGAGATTAATTAAACTTCTCAGATTCATAAAAAATTAAGTATTATAATTTGCTAAGCAGAACGAACTTTTTTCCATAAATAGAAGCATATTCATTAAAACAAATAGTAAAATTTTGGTAGCAATACAAAACATTATGCAAGAAGGTACACGGTTTTTTTGGGAGGTGCACCTAAAGTATACAATTTATCGATTACCTAGAAAGAGAACAACAATTAACCATACATCTACAATTTCCATTCTTGATGTCCTTCAAATAAGGGACATCCGTTTAATTAACGACTCCCATCTCACTATAAACTCTCTTCCGAACAAGTTTTTCCCAAAGATATATTTTTCCTGATCATTCCACGCAGAAAATAAGTGTTCGTGGAGTGTGGTTATAAACAGCAAGATCAAAAGATTTTCTCTTAATGCCAGAAGTAGGTCCATTTGATATTCATAATCATTCAAATGCCAAGAATTGGTTTAAAAGAAAAAAAAAATGATTAACAAAAATGTAGGAATCAATGTTGTAAATGATTATTTTGATTGAATCTACAAAATTAAAACTACATGCATTAAAAATTACATACAATATCCAACTAAATGTTGAGTTTATCATGAATGAAAACTGAAAAAAAATCTAGAGTTTAAATTCAATCAATGATTAAAATAGATTTATAAATTCACAAGTAAAGTCCTCATAATAAAAGTGAATTGGTTGCTTTCATATACTGCTCCCAATACTTGTTTTATTTTATTTTGACCAGTCCTTTTCCTTTCGGTATTAGTATTCATTATTCGTCTGCCTTTGTTAATAACCATCCAAAAGAGGATATATAAGATATAAGTCGTTGTGATGATTCACACACCTTACAGGATGATCTCGTATTGACTTTTTACATTTATTAGATATCTTAAAAACGAGAATACTAATGGGTTTTTGTTTTAATTTTAAATGTAAAGACTACGATATATTTTATCTTCAACAATAGTAGATGTAGTTTTTAAATGTACGTCTTGATGTACGCGCTTTCTTCCACGCAGCAGCTGCATGCGTCCGTGACGTGCGGCTGCGACTTCAACCGCAGTCATAGAGATTTGTTTGTTGTTTTCTGTGGGAGATTTGTCGTGCTATTCTAATATTAACTAAATTTAATTTTATCTTGAAACAGATGTCGATTTATTAACGTCTCAAAACAACCTTCATCACCTCTTTGCTTAAACATAGGATGTATATCCGCATTGTTCTATTCCACTTAAAGTAATTGCAGATTTCCTAGTCATCTACTTGTAACAAGAAATACTTCTGAATAAGATTGTTGGCCGTTTTTGTTAAAAAATAAGGTACCAGAAGCGATTGTTGAAAAAACCAACCACCACGGCTGTAGTCGCATGCGATAGACGTATGGACGGAACCGTACCTTAAGTCTTATTTCAGCCTTGTATTTTTTGCATTTTACTTCTTTTTAGACATATATTAGCATTATTAACGTTTTTGAACTTCCGTAATATATTTATTGTGCGTTTAAGACAAAATGTGTAGGTAACTATATAGATACAACCTATAAGATGAGTTCAATAATATTTAAATTTAAAAAGTTATTTTTTGAAGGTGTTAAGTCAAGAGTTACAGAATTACCTAATTTATTTTTTTTTTCTCTTTGAAAAATAATGAAAACTTACGTTTCTACCTGAATTTCAATCGCATAAACACAACAACACAATTTGGTTTGTCACAAATTTCAATCTGAATATAACACTATTTTTGCTACAAGGAGATGTCACCATAATAAAAGAAATCAACAAATTTCATACACACTACATAATTATAAAAACTTTTTTCTACACCCACATTGATATTAGCTGAGATATTAGCTTATCTACATACATACTACAAAACGAAAAAATATTCCATTGCATTCAACTGAACGAATATAATTCATATCCATTCTATCTACTCTGGACAAATATTAAATCCACCAATCACAGTTCATATTTAGTTCATCCGGTTACTATTATTTTTTTCTTCACATACATGGATATTAGCTTGTCTACGAAAAACTATACTACTGCGTTCAATTGAACGAATATATTTTATATCCATTCTAGGTAGCGAAAAAACTGCAAATAAATTAAATCCACCAATCACAGTTCATATTTTGGACACAACTACACTATTATTTTTAAAATTTTAAATATGTGACAATAATTCTGTCAAAGTAATTGTCAGTGTATGTTTTAAATATACATTAAAATGAGTTATTCTTGTGTAAAATCGATAAATAATAGCATTTTTATTTTTATTTGATCCACATTAAAAAAAATTTTTTTAATAAAATTTTATGAAATCAATTTAATTACGAGTATTGAAACAAAAATGTTGTGTGTGACGTTGGAACAGATACTAGGGCCCTTGGCTTTCATGCAGTGGTTCCCGGGTTCAATTTTACGATTGTAGACAAATTAAATCTCTTTTTAAGTTTATTTTATTAATAAATTAGTAAAAGTCATAAATTATTTTTAAGTTAGTTATTTTATCATAATGACCCAAAATAATTTTTAAAATTTTTAGATTTTCGTGCGATATGGCCATCATAACCACTCTAATTAAACCTTGGAGGGAGGATTTAAACAGTGTAAAATTACTTCAACACTATAACAGATGACTAATCTATTCATTTATAATTAAGCCCTTTTTTATTGCAATCATTTAGATTGTGTTTATTATTATGCAGACAGCTCTCGCATCTGTTGCTGCATTAGAAAGAAGGAGACAATTGCTAATTTGAGGGGATGATTTGTGCGAGTATGTTTATCTGAGAAGCGAGCATGCGTTTTATAAATGAATCAGTATTTACGTCTACTACGCTTGCTTTACACTGTTGTCACACTTCAAAATTAATTGCGTAATTTTCTTGTGCGCTTTAGAGCCTTATGTTTAGTCAATACCAAATTATAACCATAAACAATCCTTGTAACAATACTCTCCCATACACTCTTATAATAATTTAGGGTGGATGACACCGTGAATGTTTGCAATTCGATTTTTGTAGACACCAGTAGTCTAGTAGTTATTCGTCGTTGAATATGTGTATTTGTTTCTTTTTTCCAGCCCCACTTTAGTAAATAATATAATGGGCAATCCTACACAGACAGCTACATCAAATTTTACTATAAAAAAATGGCGAATAATGCTGATACTTAAATTATTAAATCTTGTTTAAAAAAAAAAGAAATTTCTGTAAATATGTAGGTACATATTATTTAAATTGGTAATTTCTAATAACGAATAAAAATAAATAATACTAATAAAAATTTTGTTAAAAACTGATCATTTCTTTCTCGAGACACTGTAAACCAAAATGAATTTCCCCTTAAAAACGATGAATCACTGAACAAAATTGCAAATGTTTCAGTATGAATGGCCGCAACATGTTCATGCTAAATTTGAAATATGAACCCATAAAACTAATTCAATAAAAATGTAACGGACAAATATTAAGTACGGGATTCAAGGTAAATAGTACAGTTCCAAAAAGTGTAGAAAATACTTATTATTTATTGCATTATTTCTGAGACATTTGTTATCAATAAAACTTGATATTTATATCGTCTGAAATTAAAAATGTATCCGCAAATGTTCGTTTTTATCAATCAACGATTACACCAATTAAATTTTTTTCGAATTAAATTGTCATTAATAATTAGCCTTTTGCAATAGTTTTTATGATTAGTCACTTAATTATTGCATTCGATTTTTAAAATTTTCTTAAAAATTTTACCTTACATTATAAAAAAATAATGTTAAAAAACTATTAGTATGTTATTTTTTTCATTTTGTCATAATATATTATCCAAGTTCTTTAGTAACTATAGACGAAAGTGTTGAATGTAAGACGAAAAATTAGCCGAGCTTTAATTTGAGACAATTTGTATTAAAAAAAAATTAATTGTGTCATTATTACTTGGCACAAGATATGGAACTAAGATTTTTTTTGTTTACAATAGTGATACCTACCTGCTTAGTTTTTTCATAAGCGAAAAGAGCTCAAACTAGACAATGAACTGAAATCTTAAAATAGTTGTTTTACCTTAGAAACAACTAAATGGATTTTTAAAATTGTGTAGATTTGTTAATGGGTCGTAGAAAAAATATACTGTACAACTTCGTCTCGTTTTCATCAACAGTTTTTCTTCACGAGCTTTCATCACGAATTATGCGTTGTAGATACATTTTTTCGCCGTCCTCCATACTCACCAGATTTATTACCTTGATTCCAACTTGATTACGAGTAAAATGTAATTATTGTGATGTGAGTAAAACAAAAAAAAACATTACTTTTCGTTAATAACGGTTTGTTTTCTAACTGTAACATTTTTAACACGTATATTCCGGTGATAATTAAAAAAATTCAATAAACAAATTTACTGTTAAATCGTTTATTGGTTGTTAGTTGTTATTATTACGTACTGATTATAAGGATGCTTACTTTTTAGAAAAATGACGCATATCACAGCCAGTACAAAATTAAAACTAAATCCTTGGGTCATCGTTTACTTAGAAGTATCATGAAGATTCCACTTTTAATTCAAGAAAATAAAAAAATCGCCTATGATTTTAAAATTCAAGTATACTTTCACTCATCGCTAACTCTAAACAATAAAACAAAAATAACTTTTTCACATATTTTCGGTATCGCACCGCGTAAAAATTTGTTTACAGCCAAAATTTCTATTTTTCGTTTAAAATAACAACCAGTTTCTCTAATTAAAAATCCGAGCGCGGGTTTAAATTAGTTTAATTGGGAAAAATTGTAGTGTGCGTTTTTTTCGTGAATAATTTTGCTTCTTGACCCGTCGAATACGCGCTGTTAACTGACTGACTAAAAAATCGCGACGGCTTTGGATAACGTTAAACTCGCCGCTCATTTGTCTCGACTGATATTCTACCTACTTTGTTAGTCTGGCAGCTTTAAACCAGTTTTTGGACACATAATCATGATTTATATTTTTTATCATTAGAATTTATTAAAAATAAAAATATTTATAGGCGGAAATAGTAGTTTGTGCAACAAGAGTTGTACAGCATATTTTGTCTACGACCCACTAAGGAAAATCTAAAAATTTAAAAAAATATTTTAGGTTATTAAGATAAAACAACTAATTTTAAAATAATTTATGATTTTTATTAATTTATAAAATGAAATAAACATAAAAAATTATTTAATTAGTCCCCAGCCCAGATTTGAACCCGGGCCTCTCGCATGGAAATTAAACGCACTGTTCTTACGTCCATCGACACACCATTTTAGTTTTACTACTCGTAATTAAATTAGTTTAATATAGTTTGATAAAAATTTATGAACTATTTTTGTAAATGTAAAATGTAAAGGGAATACACTGGGAAATCTTGACATTAGGCCAGGTCACATGAGTATCTCAAGGTTAGTAACAGGAGACGTGCTAGACATGAGATCGAACCACATAACCAAGAGGTACTCTTTTAAAACTCCATTTGAGGTTTTAATACAGGAAAGAGCGGAGATCACCATAAGGGAGCCCAATGCCCAACGACAGGAACAAACCTGGTATACAGACGGGTCTAAGACTGCGGAAGGCACTGGGGCAGGAGTATTTTCCAAAAACCCTGATACTAACCATAGCTATGCTATAGGATTACATTCCTCGGTATTTCAGGCCGAGGTATACGCAATTTTGCAATGTGCAAAAACGGACAATGAAAGAGTTGTCGAAAATCAGCATATTCAAATAATGTCAGACAGCCAAGCGGCACTTAAGGCCATATCGAGTCAGAAAGTTACGTCGAGGCTGGTATGGGAATGCATCGAAGAACTAAGAACACTGGCAGACCGAAATAGAGTAAAACTATTTTGGGTGCCAGGTCACCAAGGGATCGAAGGCTGACGAACTTGCAAAAAGAGGGTCAGAAGAAACACCGGAATCAGACACAAACCAAGGAGTACCAAAAAGTCTAGTCGGGGTTTCATAAACGACTGGATTCGGGAACAACATATCAACTATTGGGGAAACACCCCAAAACAGGCACATGGAAAAGCCTTCATAGGCAGACCATGTCCCAAAAGAACTGGAGAACTACTCTCAATGAATAGGAACCAGTTGAAAGTGATAACAGGGTTCATGACTGGGCACGCCCCAGTAAAGGGACACTTGAACAAAATTGGCATGTACAAAGGGGAACTCATGTGCCGACTATGTCACAAGAAACCAGAAACGGCCAAACACATACTGTGCGAATGCGAAGCTCTAGATCGCAAAAGACAGGCTCTTTTTGGACAACCCCAGGTTGATCCAACAACGTATAGAACCCGGTCACCCAAGGATCTGTACAAACTTGTACAAGGTACAAAGGTGACAGAGTGGGTGCTATGAACTAACATGGGGTAAAACACAATAAGCCAATAGGCTTCAGTGTTATTCGGAGACACATAGTCAGACGAGCCCAGGATAGAAAAAAAAATGTAGACGAAATAAAAATAGAAATTTTATGATTTATCTGTTCTACATAAGAATAACTCATTTTTACGTATATTAAATCTGAATAACACAAAAATTTTAAAATAATGTGGCAGCTCGTAGTAATTTAAAATTGGTGTTCAATTTTTTTCAATAAGTGTGATTTAAAACTTTGTACAAGCGCTAATATCGCTGTTTTTTTTTGGTGTTTTATCTTAAAAAGTGAATATTTTAGTTATTGTAATATTTGTTTTGTTTGTAATACCTTAAAAACCATCTATAACCATTATGAGTTATAGTCAGCTGACTTTTCCTCATATTTTGAGATTATTTTTGAATATTATCAGGTTATGCAAAAAGCTTGACGTTGATTTTTGTGTAACAATATTATTATATGAAATTTTACCTATCGTTTTTCAATTTTTATTGTTAATTTAATCATTTTCACAATTTGTCACACATGTCAATTAAAATAATATATTTTTTTAAAATACCTATTATTGGCAAATAATACAAGTGGACTTAAATGTTTATTTTATAAGATCACATAACATTAAACAGGTCCAAATAATAATATAATCAAGGCCAAAATAATACATAATAGATTAAAAAAATAGGTACAATAAAAGAATGATAAAGTCAACATTTTGAAAATTATTTAATAGGTATATCAGTACCTCGGAGGTAAACTGCACTATGTCATTCTAGTTAACTTTTCAGTAGAGCAGACTGAATGTTGTTTGGCCACTTTTTGTGTTCCATATTTACATATATTAATTATATTTCGACAAGAAATGCGGTTAGCCCCAATTATTATCACAATTTATAAAACTGCACTATGTCGACATACCTAGTTAAGTTGGCTTCCCAGGTAAATATTTTTTTGTAAATATAAGCCATACCATCATTAGAGTAAAATCCTCACCGGTGCACCAGTCTGACACTATTTATCAGTACATCTAGCTTTTATAGATAGGGCATATTTATATAACTTCAAATTCATTAGGGACAACCTACAAAATAAAACAATTATTTATATAACATTGTACTATGTCAAGAAATTATCCGTGATCAAATTAAACATATAATAAAATTGTCATACTTCTGAAATATCTTCTGGTATAATGAACTTTCTTGGCTGGCAACTGCAATCTAAGATCTGTTTAAAGTTAGGTACTTTATGTCATTGCCATAAGAGTCCATTTCTTCATGCAACCCAGACATCGCTTAAATTGGATGGGTTTCCTATAAAAGAGTACCGTTTTATATAAAAGTAAATCTGATAAAGTTGCTAGGGTTTACCCGACACACTCGAATATAATTAAATTTTGTCTCTGTGAGTTCTTTTCTGATGACATTGTGTGACATTTACGCAGTTTTCTGTTTATGAAACTTCGTTTATGTCTTTTGTATGGCACAAAAAAAAGTTAACACATTTTTTGCTCACTGCATAGTACTTACAGTTGGATATAAAACACATGACTATTCTGAAGTAGTTTTAGACACTGGAACCATCAGTGGAACACAAATTAACTCACACTAACAGTATAGCATAATATGTTGGTAGTTACTAAAATGTAATTTTTAAATGTCTGTAGTTACTTATTTGTCAGCTCTGTATCTTTAGTGTTTTAGATTTTTGAAATTATGTTTTCAACTAGATTTTAAAATTAAACAAAATTTACTTCGTTTTTTTTTTCGACCTTGTAGTCGAGTGCAGTAAGCAAGTTGTACTATGTCCCGGTGGTGGGAGCTGTCATGTAACCTATGAAATTCATCAATAGATTTATGCTGTTTTGCCTGCCATGTAATATACCTATGCTTCCAGACATCGAGAGCAATAAAAAATGTCTGTGAGATTTTCTGTCGTCCGGTTTAGGGATTCTGGCCACGTGATCGAATATTTACTTTTTTCTACTAAATTCGGGAAATAGCTTAAACGCGGTGTATCTGAATTTAAGATGATATTACTGGCATTTTTTTCTGTCGTCTAAAGTAGCTTGTATTTTTTTAAAATAGGTGTAAAATCGGAACCAAATGTCGAAAAGAGGTTTAATTGATCTCAAAATGTTTATTATGACTCAATTAAAAGTACTCATTGCCTTTGCGGATATTTTTATTCAGTAGTTTTGCCCAATTCAGCCTTTTATTCACCCTGGATGTTCATGAAACAAATGTCGAAATAATCTAATTTATGGTGAATTTACATTCATGCCACCAGACTATAGTTTATGGTACGGTAACTTAATGGTTATGGGGTTATGGTTTTGATGATTGTATTCTAACTCAAATATCTGAGCTGTGATGAACGTTAAGAAACAAAAATATACCGCTATGATTTTTGTGTATCTCCCATTTACAGTTAATTTGAAAGAATTTCCGAGTAAATTACTCATAAATTATCCAGAAAAATCGTTATTCTAAGCTGACCCAGTCAAATATTAAATTATTGTTAATAACAAAAATAATTTAAAATATTTGAAAAGGTCTAAAATTCGATATACCTACTCCTTTGGCATTATCTCTGTATTTGTATTAAATGAAAATATTAACATTTAATTAATTATGTATTAAACTCGCTACATTACTCTTTTTAGTTTTTCAAATTGTTTGTTTTAAAATATAAAATAACTTGTTTCATTTATCTAAGAAAATAACGTTAACACGTTCACTGTCCTGCGAACCATATCTGAGTCGTAAATGTATGTTTTGTTACAGCTTAACATTAAGAAGGACGTGTCAGTAAATTATTGCTTTCTTTAAGAGTACTCTAAGGGAAGTCGAGACATCAAAAATGGGGTTACAAAATAATGAAAATATTCTTATTAAAAGTGTATAAAAAGGAAACAGAGGGAAAATAAATGATTTTCTGCGTAGCAAAAAATACAAAATGCTTGATTGCACAAACGGCAAAAAGTTGAGACTTTCTTAGTTTTTTTACATGCTTCTTTTGATGTAAGAGTATTTCTCAATTTAGTATAACACTAATGACAGCGTTTTCTGTATATTTTGTCATCGCTACCTCTAGGTAGCTCTTCTAGCTTATGGGCTTGCTCCTCTTGCTTTTTTTCCTTATGCTTTTTTTGCCTTTTCATCTTTTCATTTGTTTTGAGAAGGCTTCGAATAAGAGATTCTCTCATTTTTATCATTGATGGCTGATCTTTCACTGGACGCACAGAATTATACAAAATAAAAGTATTGACAATGAGTGTCCCACAAATTATTTCAATGGCCAATTTTTTGAACCAAACCAAAGACTTTCGAAGACAAGTGTAATAACTAGATAATTGGTCAGAGATGTCTACCCCCTGCTTTTCCTTGTTATACTCTATTATAGCTAATGGTTTGATTTTATCTTCTCCATTTCTTTTTTTCCCATAAACTTTCATTTGATGATCATGGCACTTGAAAAGCATATGGATATAACGTTGATCGT